GGTATGTGGAATGAAGTGGGCGGGCATCGGGAGGCCACTATGGCACGGGGCAAGCACTATGGGCAGTCTATCTGAAGTGTACCTGGCGTATAAGACGACCCCCCACTTGGACGCATATTTTTCAGGGCCAAAAAATCGTCTTATACGCCGGCAAATACGGTACCTCTGGACTTAGTGACATAAAGGTCAATGGTGACTTTAAAGCCAGGCACCCAGAACTTGATAAGGGTACAATAAGGAATATAAATTACTAGATATCATTAGGAGTTTGGAGTGTATCTTGGAGGAAAGAACAGAACCAAAGAGCTATAGTTTCTTTATAAGTTGTTTTTGGAAAAGATATAAAATTATATTAAAATGCTAAAAAATATATGCCTAAATTTACAAAAAGATTAATTATTAATTCATTCAACAAATATTTACTGAGCAAGTGTTATGCGCCAGGAACTGTGCAAAAGTGTTGAACAATTTATTACCTGGTGCTGCTAACACATGTTCTACCATTAACTTGTAAGTGTGAAAATCATTAACCTCACAGCTTCATTTCCCCTTCTATACAATGAAAGGGCTGAAAGTGCAGATATCTCATTCGTATGATACTGTACTAGTATGTATAACAACAAAACAGCCAAAATACTTACGAAGGTTTTGGTTTTGAAAGATTCAATTTGTTGTTAAGTTTTCTGGCTGAATGACGCTCCAGTTGCTCCTGTAGGTTATTTTGAGGAACAGCAGCCATGATCCTAAAAAGAGAGGGGGAAAATATCAGTACAGTTAGGTGCTTTGCATGAACCACAATATTTGGGGGGAGGGGGGGCAGAGGGGATGGAGCACTGTTCCAACTGTGCCCAAAGTAATGAGGCTTTTTTGGATCAATAAACTGTTTTGACATTTACAACTGGTTACATTTGAACTATATAATCTTTAACTAACTGGCGCTCACTTGAATAGCAAAATGACCTGGTTTCCCCCAATGCTAAAACAAACACAAAGGACATTAAGGGAAGGGATTATTAGGAAAGGGCTTGCAGAAAAATGACACCTGGCCTGGGCCTGAAGAATAAATAGAAAGTAGACAGAGAGTGTGGTAGGAGAAAATAATCAAAGCATACTGAAAACCCAAGGAACAAATGAGTAACTGAATTCACCACCAATGAGAGCAATGGTTCCCCAGCAAGACACCACGTTTCATAATTATCTAGTTCCAAGCTGAAATACTTTTACCAAGCATAAAAGTATTCTTGTAGAATACCTTGTAAAACAAACTGATATTTGCTGAGCTATTGTCTGAGATAACGTACAGCTTGAGCCACCTTCAAGTTACTGGGGTACAAGACAGGACAGCCAAAATCTATGGATAGCAAAAACTTTTCATTTCAGCTGATAGCTATAACTCCTTTCCCATTCTATCTTCTTTAAAAAAAAAATACTTTAGGGAGGGAAAATGGCGGAGGTATAAACGGACATGTCCTGTGCCTTGTCCTGGAGCAGATAAGGGTGAGCAGCTGAAACAGGTAACATACAGCCCAAACAGGCAGAGGATTTTCAGCTGAGAGACTGCCTGCAGCTAGGAAAGACCGAGAACCCCCAGGAAAAAAAGGACGCTTGGAGACTGCGGCTGAAACCTCTCTTGGTGCGCCAGCTAAGCAGCGGAGACTGCGCCATCTTGGGTGGTTGTTGCCGGCATCCAGAGACCAGCTACTAAGCTGGAAACAAGGGATCTCAAGCAGCGTGACTGCGTGAACTCAGACGAGCACTGCTTCTCACGGAAAGCAGAGAGAGAACATAACCAAACACCTTGAGAAGAGAAATCATGGTGAAACAAAGAACCAACCCAAATATGAAAGAAAAACAGGCATCATCAGAAAAGGAAGTAAACGAAATGGAGGTAATGGAGGCAAGCAACCTGTCAGAGAAAGAATACAGAGAAATGGCCATAAGGTGGATGAAAAGAGACTCT